ATAACAAGTCAGAAAACACAATGACAAATAAGACAAACCGGAAGAGGTAGGTATAGTTTGAGACAGCGCCATTGGTTTGGTATTACTCCCTGCTGACTGGACGAGACATCTGTCAATCAACGTATACAGGAAGAACCAGAAGAAGAACAGCAGAGTCGTGGTAGAAAGTTCGGAGATGGTATTAAAGTAGCTCAGTTTAAATGTATTGTATGAATTGCCCTCACTCTGGAATTAAAAATATGGGGTGTCCATTTACATTTAGTTAAAAGTGGCTGTATATCATCAGTTCCTGTGGCGCAGATGGATAAGTGCGTGCCCTTGGCTTTTTGACGCGATCAACCCGGGTACGATCCCGCCTTTTGCCAAACTTTTTTTTCTCCCTTTTCAAATCTCGTAATAGCAATGGATTCTATTTACACTAAGTGCAAATACCTATTTACACTATGTCAAAGGGATAGTTCACCCAAAAATGAAAATTTGATGTTTATCTGCTTACCCCCAGGTCATCCAAGATGTAGGTGACTTTGTTTCTTCAGTAGAACACAAACGAAGATTTTTAAGTCCAACCGTTGAAGTCCATCAGTCGTATAATGCATGGCAATGGTAACAAAATCTAGGAGTGTAAAAAAAAACATGCACAGACAAATTCAAATTAAACCCTGCAGCTCCTGATGACACATTGATGTCCTAAGACACGAAACGATCGGTCTGTGCCAGAAACCGAACAGTATTTATATAATGGTTTACCTCTAACACACCACTATGTCCAACTGCTTTGAGCACGCGCATGACTTCCGGTGCGTGAGGCGTGTACGCGCTCTGGCGTAGTTTACGTTAATGGGTGTGTTGTCGCGGGAGGAGCAAACGACAGACACCGTTTATTAACAGAAAATAAACAAAGTGTCCAGAAAAAAGGGAATCAAGTGTCCAAAATAAACAGGGGATCTGGTGTCCTCGTCGTGCTGCGGGGTTCGTGCAGGGAAGGGCAGTGGTCAGGAAGGAAGGGTCCAGGTAAGGGGCGGAGTCCGGCAGCCGCACGCGCTCCCCTCTCCCTCTCGGCGGCTTCTATCAGCGGCTTCGTCCTTCTCTCTGCCCACGGCGCTTGAAGGGACTAGACGGCTCAGCATCCTTGCCCGACGGCTGTGTAACGGGTGCGATTCTCGTCCGGACTGTGGGTCTGGCAGCTCACGACTCTGGCGGCACGGGAGTCCCTCTACGCACCCCTCCTGG